TTTAACCTAACCTCATCTTCTGGGCAAGCGCGGTCCAGCCTGTCGTTCGCCAGGCGTTCGCAGCGAACAGGCACCCCAAGGCCACATCAATGGCTTCTTATGGGCGTCCAAGCCTGCCGTTTGCCAGCCCCTAAACGCTTAAAACGCGTAAAACGCCTAAAACGCCTAAAACGCTTAAAACCGGTAAAACTTGCAAAAGCGTTTCGGAACGCCCAACCGCGCAGGCACAAGCTATCCCAAGGCCAGATCCATCGCTTTTTCTGGACCGTGCAAGAGCTCCCAAGGCCAGATCCATCGCTTCTTCTGGGCGGTCCAGCCTGCCGTTCGCCAGGCTTTCGCAGCCAACAGGCACCCCAAGGCCACATCAATGACTTCTTATGGGCGTCCAAGCCTTCCGTTTGCCAGCCCCTAAACGCTTAAAACGCCTAAAACGCCTAAAAAGCTTACAACCGTTAAAACTTGCAAAAGCATTTCGGAACGCCCAACAGCTATCCCAAGGCCAGATCCATCGCTTCTTCTGGGCGGTCCAGCCTGCCGTTCGCCAGGCGTTCGCAGCCAACAGGCACCCCAAAGCCACATCAATGGCTTCTTATGGGCGTCCAAGCCTGCCGTTTGCCAGCCTGCACAAGCATCAAAATGTACCCCAAAGCCAGATCAATGGCTTCCTCTCGGCGTTCAAGCCTGCCGTTTGCCACCTTTTTCCGTCACAACGCCGTCCTTGACAGAAAACTGGTTCCCACAGACCGTTCGATGGTTTATTTGCCCTGTCTTCACGTCACTGGCCACATTCCCTTTGCAAGCGGGGCAAATGTACACATACGCTTTTTCCTTCACAACGATCCATAACGACGGCTGCGGGGAACATGCGCATGTTACCAACCCCCCCATTAAGGAGGGGTCGGCGGCACCAGGGCGCTAGCCCATTCTATATTTGGTGGAATTTAACCATCAACAATGGTCGTTTCATGGGAGGTTCATGGGGGCTTAGCTATATATAGGCTATATATGATTTTGGTCCAGTTAGATAGGCTTAATGACGACTTAACGGTTTATGGTGATCCTTGAGATTCAACGCGAATCCTTACAATAGTAGTATAATTTCCTATGAACGGATTGATGACCATGCTAGAATATGGGCGTTTAGTCCGTCTTTTGACCATGGCACATATCTATGTTGGTTTACTAAAGGCTATCTTCCGGGATTAGACTTTTAGTGTAATCCACCAGGAGAATATCTTCAGTGTCCATAGCTATGTCACAAATTACCACAAGGTTTTTATGCACCGTAGAATTGGTGCTGAAAAAAACCATATGGAACCTATAGATCATCATCAAATCCCCATGAAATCCGCATGAAATCCCCTGGGTGAATGATGAATTCCCCATCAAAAACCACCCATGAAATCCCTATGTTTTTCCAAACGAAAAGCGGCCAAGGTGCAACCCTTCGCCCGGCCAGTCAATGAAGAAGAGCCGTTTGTACCTGCCACCCTGGTGACCCCGATTTCTGGATTTGCGTCGAGATTTCACGAGCGAAATGCTGGGGGTACCAGCCAAGAATGAAATATCATGGGATGTAATCAATGTAATCCCTTCCCCCTATTACTAACCCCCCCCGAATAATAAAAACTACCTCAGGTGTTTATTAGTTGGGGGGATTAATGGCATGTAACCAACATGGGGAATTGACCAACAAAATATATGTTTGATGGGGATTGTATAAACGAATCAACAATGTCCAATACTTGGGAAATCTTGGGGCAGATATATTGGGATTTGATTTAACCAATAAAACATCGGATATTTTGGTCCACAACAAGTGTAGTTAAACCGCAAATGTACATCGAAATTCATGTTGCTTCATATGGGTGCATCCAAAGATGGGTTTCTATCTACAAAAGGGAGACTATAGGCAAGAAAATTGGGATTAAACTACCCATAACGAGTTATGACCAACAACTATGATATAGGGATACAACCAGGAACCAAATCCGGGGAAGAAGCAAGCGAAATGGGGATATATATGCATGGGAGTTGTCCCAAAGATTGGGCATATTATGGCAATTTAATGGAAACATGATGATAAACTATGAGAGTTTTGGGTTGGTTTGTTCAAGCAAATCTACAAAAACCCCTTGTCTGTATATATAATTCCCATGTAAATGTTCCCTTCATCCAGTTCCAGGAATTATGAAACTCATGAAAAAGAAAGTGCAAAAAATTCCATAACAACATCATATTCAGCAACCATTTGCACATTCTTGTGAAGCTTCATTTCATTTCAAGGGGGGGGGATCCAAACATATTTTCTCGCCACTTTCAGTGGGTCCAACGAATCCGTGAAATCCGCGGCTCCGCGGTGCGCACGGCTCTTCCATCAGCCGCTCCAAAGCTCCCAAGTCCACAACAGGAACATCGCACCTGAAGTTTCCGCCGCGATCGATGCCAGGAACGGTGACATTTGCGAAGGGAAGTCGCCTAATTAGTTAGCATATAGGCACCAGGTTTAAGACGCTTGTATATGGATGTAATCCATTCATGTCAATAATTGTATATGTGTATGTAATGTCGTGCTGTGTAATGGAATGTATAATGGAACGTAATGGAATGTCATGGAATACATATAATGTAATTGTATACATGATTACATCTATTTAGGATGACCTTAATTAAGCAAACTTATTGGCCATCCATAGGCTTGCGCCAGTAGCATTTCCCTGGGAGCCTTACCGGCGAACCCGGCCCGGCTGAGGTCGTCACAGAGGAGTCTGCGCAAAGAGGTGGGGATCCAACCTCTGAGTCGGAATCATGGGATTCTGAGTTGGGACATGGGGCCCCGAATGAACATCCTATGGTCATATATAACATATATAATATATAATATATAGTATATAACATATAATATATAGTATATAATGTATAATGTATAATGTATAATAATAATAGTAATATATATATATATATGTTGTGTTATTTAAATTCATATTATATAAGTAGTTTGCATCCAGCAATAACCCCAACTGCACCCCAACGTATACCACGATGGATGATGAGTACATGAAGCAGCACTACTCCGTTTTTGACCGCAAATACCCGGCCTGGTAAACATACAAAAAACTATAGAAAATCACCATTTTGAATAGGTAAATTAACGAACTAAAGAGGATATGTTCAATAGCAAACTGCTAAATTACCAGAGGCTACGTTCTATGTTGGGATCGTTCAACTGCGCATGGTGTGCCGAAACTTCAAGACCAGGACGGCCCAGGCTCCACTTAGCGTCAGAAAACGTTCAACTTACACTTCGGTAATCAAACATAGCTAGCTGGAAAATCTATGAGAATCCACTATAAATGGATGTTATAGAGTTCGCTGGGAACATCAACGATAAAGAACCACTGTGAAAGACCAGAATTCAACGTGGAAAAACACAAGACCCGTTCCTTCCATTTTTTTTACAAGAACATCAGGCACCCAAAAAGTCAAGATACTCTTAAATGAGTACCCTCTGGTGAACTAACATAGCAATGGAAAATCACCATTCTTAATGGGAAAATCCACTATAAATAGCCATTTTCAATGGCTATGTTAGTTCACCAGAGGGTAGTCTTTAAAACCCGAAATCTTCTTCCAAAACGGCATGTGGTCCATTGGCGTGGTTGCACCTTGCGCGGGCGGCACTGTGATGCCTGTGGCGCCCGAGTCAGTGTGCCATGATGTGCCATGTTCCCGGGCCGTATCTTCGTTTTCTGATGTAAAAAATCGCGTGAGTCGTACCAAAAAATGTTGGTTAGAATCACTGAGAAGCCTCATTTTGACTTTTGACTGACTGGTCTTGTTGCGAAAACGGCTTCGCAGATGTGTGTTTGCGAAAACTCATCGCTGATTTCTTGGTCGAAGTCCCAATTGTCTATTGTTATCCATTGTGTAGCAGCTAAGAATTGACACATAGGCACAAAGAACGTTGCTGATCCGATCACCGAATATTTTTGTGTGGTAAACCATGGTAAACCCAAGACCAAAACCACCATCCCTCTATCATCCTAACAGAAGCAGCTGTGTATCCCAGTAGCTGGTTCCCTATCTCAAACCTGGCTTTGCCAGCTTACTCAGTATCAGCTACATTTGTTTGCTGATTATATAATGTTTACATTTGTTTGTTGAACATAGTGATTACATAGTGATTACATTTGGGAATAAAAGCAGGATCTCAATATAGTCCAGTATTACTCATGTGATTTTCCCAAATGTAATCACTACCATCTGGTTATTTAACATAGCTATAGAAAATCACCATTTCTAATGATTCTAATAGGTAAACCATCTATTTCCATGGGCCATTTTCAATAGCTTTTTGTATGTTTACCAGGTATGGGTATGGAAACTCATGGTCTCCGGAAACGACTTACATTTCTGGTTTTCCATATATTTACATTTCAACGGTGGAATTCCAACGGCGGAATCCTTCCTATTCCCGGCGACGGTCAAGCACCGTTCCGTCAGCACCCGGACCCGGTCGCTCCGTCGTCCAGAACCCAGCCGCGGTCGGGGATCACCTCGAAAACTTGGGGATGTCTATCACCACGTCATACTATATATTTAATATAATATTATATATATATTATGCATGCATCATACATGTATCCATATATATATATATTGTAGATATACACATATTATTCATATATATATATTATAGATACAAAGATTATGATATATTATGTACACAATAAATACATTTATGTACATTAAAAAAGGTACATAACGTGATTGTTTCCGGGAAATGCGGATCTAATTTCATTTAGTATTGCTGTATGCATTGAAAAAAAAAACGACTTGATTCCTAATTCAAATAACATTGGCATAGTACCAACAATTCATTTGTGTGGGTCACCTCATTTTTAAATGGTATTTTAACAAGTAAATCAACATGTGAGGGAATGCATCAGGCTGTGTATATATATATGGTGAAACTAATGGGAATAAGGGTACTGCGACCATTAGAAATCTGGATCCTGGACCACCAAAATGAGGAACATCCTAACTAGCAACTGCTCGGAACGCGGCGCCGCGAGGTTCTTTTCACCAGCAATACTTAGCAATACTTCAATGGGACACTCCTCCAGTAAACAAAGATCGTCATTAAAAACCCGTTGTTTGTACTGCAGATCATTCCAGGGAAACTGTCGGCTTTCCACATCGTTAGCTGATCCAAGTTCGTCCTAGGGGCACATCAGCTGTCCACTTTTGATGGGGAAAAAATCAGCCAAAAATCAGTGAAAATCGGTGAACATCTGTGAAATTGAGACTCGCCTGATTTTCTCATGCTGGGATGTTTGACTTTCGGAGGATTTTTCTGGTACCAAAGCCTGGCCCAAACCACCTTGGCGACCCCGCACGTGACACCTCCGGTGTCAGAAACTGGCGTTTCCTCCTGGCGATGGAGCAGCTTTTTTGAATCCCCGATGTGTTCTGATTTGAAGCTACCAGGTTATAAATGAAGGTTTTCATGGGAAAATCATCTGATTTTCATGGGAAAATCATCTGGTTTTCATGGGAAAATCATCTGGTTTTTATGGGAAAATCATCTGGTTTTCATGGGAAAATCATCTGGTTTTCATGGGAAAATCATCTGGTTTTCATGGGAAAATCATCTGGTTTTCATGGGAAAATCATCTGTTAAATAACCAGAGTGTACATGTCAATCTGCCATGTTGCAGCTGAAACAACAATAAAACGACCTCTAATCCGCGGCTCAAAGTGGGGTACAGAAAAAAGTGGCACGCAAACTGGCATGGAAACAGACTGTAGATTCTTGGCCACACGATCAAAATATACTGAGAATGGTTTATAGAATAGCATAGAATATCATAGGAAAAATGAATGATTAAATATGGATCCATAATGACTGATTTCAATAATATTCAATGATTTTATGGAACAAACAAAACAAACTAACTAAGTATAAGTGACTAACTAACTAACTACCTAACTAACTAACTAACTAACTAACTAACTATCTAGCCAACCAACTAACTAAAAATCAAACAAACACCAATCCATCAAACACCAATCCATCAAACACACATACACACACATGTAGGAAACACTATAAGAACAATCTGCCAAACAAACATATACGAACATCACTAATCTACCAAACAATCGTATATATTATCCATCACTAATCTGTCAAACAAACATTTACAACCAGTAAGAAAGAAAACTATACGAATAAGATGGTTAACTTAACAATCATTATATCTTTACATATCTTTATATATATATTCTTATAGTTTTTGACCATCAAATATCTAACGTCTATGTGAACATGTTATGTGACCGATGTCACCGATGTGCCCGCGGCAGCCGCGGCCTCAGGCGCTCGTCGCGGAACATGGCGTCCCAGGGACTACCCAAATGCCATTGGGATAACATCTCCTGCCGGCGGCACGACTGGAGATGAAGAAACGTACGAACCAAACTAACCAACTTTAGAGGCACTGATGTGGAACCAACTTCATTCAGAAATGCTGTTTTGTATGCTTTCTTCAAACATTCGAGGAAAACAAGATGTTGTTTTTAAATGGATTTCTTTCAGGGGCATGACATATTTTTCCAAAAGTTGAGTCAAACAGCAGATGATGGCAGTCCAGGAACGGCCATGGTTCCTTGCCAATCATTCACCAGTTAAGTTGACAAAAACCACATGAAACATCATGAAACCAGCATTAAAATCCATTGACTGAAAGCTTCGCAAGGAAAAGAAATGCCTGGAACTTCTGGTTCAATCAGCATATTTCTTGGTAGAAGCACCATTCCAGTTGTTCCAAATATCTGGAATTGTACGATTTTTCTACTCAAAGGTGGCCATGAAGTTAACTTCACCATGTGTGATTCGCGCTTGGCGTTTGAAACCTCCGGAATTTGCTAAACCCTGGTTGATTAATTGTGCTGGTTCCCCCAAAGAGTAACAAATGGCTACTGAAATGGTATATAGTGTATATATATATAAGATATATAATATATATATATATACTGTATATATACTGGTTGGTGGTTGACCTCCTCTGAAAAATCATGGACTCTTCGTTCGTCAGTTGGGGCCTGATGACATTCCCAATATGGGAAAGTCATTCAATCCATTCCATGCTTCCAGTCGCCACCAACCAGATAATGGTATAAACCATTATAAATGGTATATAAAATAAATGGCACCTATAATGGTATATTAATGGTATATAAACAGTATTAATGGTATATCTACTGATGTATCAGGGATTTCCCAGTGTGCCACGTGGATGACACTGGAAGCTTCACAAAAGCAACGCAAGAAACCCCTGGGTTTTCCAGCTCTGCATAGCTCTCCTGCATCGCTTCATGTGTGGCCAACCAGCCCGAGCCACTGAACCAGTCGGTTCGCAGCACCACCTGCGTCGCGGTTAAAAACAATGACCCTCAAAGTAAACCTCAAAAATTTGACATGCCTGGGAAATCCTGACTGTAAAATGTATGAAAATACGGGATTAAATATGAATAATACTAATACATATATATATAATCATGTATGTATGTATGTGTATGTAAGTATGTACGTATGTACTGGTAAATTATAATATTTCACTAACCTGAATGAAAACCATTTGGGGATGATTTCCCTTATTAACCATGATTCCAGGGTTCGGTCGCAGTGAGGCTGTTATAATTTACCAAGATATATATATATTATATATGTTGCTGATTTTTCGTTGCCATGTCAAAATTGCTGGAGGGTAAACCAGGTTGCGGATAGCGGTTTTTCTTGTCATGTGCCAGTTCTGAAAGACCGAGTGCCTCTAGACACGATTCATAAGGACCCATGAAAATTGGTCATAATTTTACCAATTTTCCGTGCGAAGCAATGGTAAATTACGTGACATGATTATATCATATTACCCGGCCTGGTAAACGTTTACATATATAACTATGGAGAAAATCCATGATTTTTCATGGGTAACTCAACGAACTAAATGTTAAATTACCAGAGTCATAGAATTGGATGATGGGAAAATTTACAGGAAAACCCTATATTTGATGGTAAAAACCCATGGGTTTCCGGTTTTCAGATTTTCCCTTAAACCAATCCAATGACAGAGGGTCTATCATATGATATCCCCTATGTGCTTTTCAGGGGCAACATCCCAATGGTCAAAGCCAATGGTGAATGATTTTTCTCCAGATTTTCCTGATGGATCTTCCATCGTTCGATGCTACAGGGTGGTGCCCCAGTTCGGAATCGCTACCCTCTGGTAAACTAACATAACTATGGAAAATCACCACTTTTAATGGGAAAATCCACTATAAATGGCCATTTTCCATAGCTACGTTAAATTACCAGAGGGTAAGATGGTGCAAATAACTCCAATTTCACTATTCTTTGTAGGTGATATATCTATAGTTTTGATGGGATTATAACCATTTGTAACCCATTTACAAAATGGGGGGGCACCACCTTGTACAAAGTGTTCTGTTGCATCCAATTCAAACACGAGAAGCTATCTTTGGAGCTTGCTGCATGGTGATTCTCCCCACTTGGGTGAACAAAATGAGACTTATCCCATTCATAATCCATTGATCCTCTGGTGATTTGCGAAACTAACCATCGTTGAATCATAAATCCTCTATAAATCATCATGATCATCTATAAATGGAGCATTTTTCCGTAAGATCCCATGAACAATGCCATGAAATCCACCATTTTCCTTGGTGAACTCCACTGAAATCACCAAATCAGCCAGGGCACCGTCGGGTCTGCGGCATAGGGCGCCAAAGCCTGGTCATTCCAACCGTTCGCCGCCAAGAGACCTCTTGACGGAAGTTCCATGGATTTTTCCCAGGTGGATTTATATTATATATATATGTATACATTGTATATAGGTGATTATATGTGCGTATAGATATATGTATAGATAGATGTATCGATATATGTAATTATAGATATATGTATAGATAGATGTATAGATAGATGTATAGATAGATGTATAGATATATACATAGGTATATGTATAGACATATACATAGATACATGTATAGATATATGTAGATATATGTATAGATGTATGTATAGATATGATACAGGATGGGGCCCCCAGTCGATAGCGTTCAGTTGCCGAAAAAAAGTGGCTAAGTTCTTTGGTTTAGTGGTAGGTATAACTATAATCCGCCGACCCCTGCCGTCAGCAGGGGGAGCGCGTCAGAGGAGGCCTTACTAGCAACAAGATGCCAGAAGGGGCGAAGAGTTTGCGCAGAACGAAAGCCGGCTCCAGGAGGACACGAGCAGGGTGGCAGTTGGCAGTGTAGAAACGCAGGAAAAGTCAAGGTTTGGAGCTAGTTTCTAGTCGGTTCAGAAAGTGACGTTTGGCAGTCTGGGATACGGGCCGCGGGCCCAATCCGTCCTTCACTGCCATGGTGTTTTAGCCCTGCGACACGGTCCTTGGACTCCAGCTTGGACCGAAGCGGTGCAGAACGAAAGCCGGCTCCAGGAGGACACGAGCAGGGTGGCAGTTGGCAGTGCAGAAACGCAGGAAAAGTCAAGGTTTGGAGCTAGTTTCTAGTCGGTTCAGAAAGTGACGTTTGGCAGTCTGGGATACGGGCCGCGGGCCCAATCCGTCCTTCACTGCCATGGTGTTTTAGCCCTGCGACACGGTCCTTGGACTCCAGCTTGGACCGAAGCGGTGCAGAACGAAAGCCGGCTCCAGGAGGACACGAGCAGGGTGGCAGTTGGCAGTGCAGAAACGCAGGAAAAGTCAAGGTTTGGAGCTAGTTTCTAGTCGGTTCAGAAAGTGACGTTTGGCAGTCTGGGATACGGGCCGCGGCCCCAATCCGTCCTTCACTGCCATGGTGTTTTAGCCCTGCGACACGGTCCTTGGACTCCAGCTTGGACCGAAGCCGGTGTTTCAGCAGAACGAAGGCCCGGCTCAGGGAGGACACGAGCAGCGGCCTGGCTAGGTTGGACCAGTGCAGAAACGCAGGAAAAGTCAAGGTTTGGAGCTAGTTTCTAGTCGGTTCAGAAAGTGACGTTTGGCAGTCTGGGATACGGGCCGCGGGCCCAATCCGTCCTTCACGGCCATGGTGTTTTAGCCCTGCGACACGGTCCTTGGACTCCAGCTTGGAACTTCGAAGAGGTTCTGCAGAACGCAAAGACGGTATGACCAGGAAGGCACAAGAGCAGTGGTGCCGCAGTGGCAGATGCGAAACGCAGGCAAAGTTCAAGGTTTGGAGATAGTTTCTAACGGTTCAGAAAGTAACGTGTGGAAACTCGGCATACAGGGCCGCCAGAACGAAAGGCGGCTCCAGGAGGACACGAGCAGGGTGGCAGTTGGCAGTGCAGAAACGCAGGAAAAGTCAAGGTTTGGAGCTAGTTTCTAGTCGGTTCAGAAAGTGACGTTTGGCAGTCTGGGGTCCTTCACTGCCATGGTGGTTTAGCCCTGCGACACGGTCCTTGGACTCCAGCTTGGACCGAAGCGGTGCAGAACGAAAGCCGGCTCCAGGAGGACACGAGCAGGGTGGCAGTTGGCAGTGCAGAAACGCAGGAAAAGTCAAGGTTTGGAGCTTATTTCTAGTTGGTTCAGAAAGTGACGTTTGGCAGTCTGGGATACGGGCCGCAGGCCCAATCCGTCCTTCACTGCCATGGTGTTTTAGCCCTGCGACACGGTCCTTGGACTCCAGCTTAGACCGAAGCGGTGCAGAACGAAAGCCGGCTCCAGGACGACACGAGCAGGGTGGCAGTTGGCAGTGCAGAAACGCAGGTAAAGTCAAGGTTTGGAGCCGCAGAACGAAAGCCGGCTCCAGGAGGACACGAGCAGGGTGGCAGTTCGCAGTGCAGAAACGCAGGAAAAGTCAAGGTTTGGAGCTAGTTTCTAGTCGGTTCAGAAAGTGACGTTTGGCAGTCTGGGATACGGGCCGCGGTTTGGTGGGGGGCCAATCAGTCACCTTCCACTGTTTTGATTTAATGGTGATTTTCAGCACTGCGGACACGGTCTTGGACGCCAGATTGGATCCGAAGCGGTGAAGAACCCCGAAAGCCGGCTCCAGGCAGCGAACGAGCAGGGTGGCAGTTGGCAGTGCAGAAACGCAGGAAAAGTCAAGGTTTGGAGCTAGTTTCTAGTCGGTTCAGAAAGTGACGTTTGGCAGTCTGGGATACGGGCCGCGGGCCCAATCCGGCCTTCACTGCCATGGTGTTTTAGCCCTGCGACACGGTCCTTGGACTCCAGCTTGGACCGAAGCGGTGCAGAACGAAAGCCGGCTCCAGGAGGACACGGCAGGGTGGCAGTTGGCAGTGCAGAAACGCAGGAAAAGTCAAGGTTTGGAGCTAGTTTCTAGTCGGTTCAGAAAGTGACGTTTGGCAGTCTGGGATACGGGCAGCGGGCCCAATCCGTCCTTCACTGCCATGGTGTTTTAGCCCTGCGACACGGTCCTTGGACTCCAGCTTGGACCGAAGCGGTGCAGAACGAAGGCCGGCTCCAGGAG